ACAGCAGCAACAAAAAACATGCAGTCAGTTGTTGTGCTTTTAGATGTGGAGAAGAACAGCTGCTGAATTTCACACTGAGCATCTAAATGTGCAAGAAATGGGATTTAAAGAGACTTGGAACAGAGCTTGGATGTTTGTGCTTAATGTGGCTGTCTGAGTATTTCAGAAACTGCTGACCTGCTGGGTTATAAACAACCACAGCTCTGTTTAAAGATAATACCCAGTGAACAGCTGTGGGAAGGAAGAAACATGCTTTGTTGTTGTGGTTTGGATCGAAGAGAATCTAGAAAGGGTAAACTGGACAAAGGGGCTAGAAAAGCAACATTAGGTCAAACAAGCTAATGCTAAGCTATGCTGAATATAAGCAAAGCTGGAGGCAGATGTGCTACGGCAGCAGGAGACCTCGCCAGCTGCTGTTTCTGTTTGAAAACAACAGGGAAATATTCAACATTTGATCATAAGACTGTAGAAATGATTGCGATGGAAGAGACGTAGAGACCGATAGGTCAATAAAACCCATTTTTTACTTTACACAAATAGTTATTTAAGTGATAGCTTCAGTCAAGTTGAAAGAGGATCAGTTTTGCTTTACGAAATCTCATTTTAAACCAAACTAAAGAAAAAAAATACTCTGAAAATCAGTTTGAATCAAATAACAAAATAGAGCTGAACTAGAACTGATTTAAAAATTGTTTAAAATAAGACAAAAATGTGATTTTCCTGAATTATAAATCTATATTGACCTAATATTCCATTTATTTCATCTTTTCGATATAAAACATTACGATGTTGGATTTTCGGTTTTGCTTTATTTATTTGGGTTTCTCTGTTTTGGATGCAGTTAATCTCACTTTTAAAGTTCCTAAGTTGATGTAAAGTCAGTTGTAGCTCAATGCTAAAGCACACAAACCTGCTCCCACAACAGTAGCTGTGAACACAAAGTAATCCCCTCACATATACAGGTTTGGAATCTGATCAAAATGTAGTTTAAATGGTGCATTGAAAACATTTTAGACCAGTAGAGGGAGCTAATGTATAACTGATCATCTAGCCGCACAGGGGAGAAGTTATAGAAATAACAGCAGAATAGGCTGGAAATGGGTTTTCTTCCTTTATCTATCACAGTGGGTTGATATTTTATGTTTTATAAATATAATTTCTCATCTTCCTTTCACTTCCAGCTCCAAATCTGGCTCCCAAACCGACTTTAGTACCACCAGCACGTCCAGATCCAAACCCAGTCCCTCCTAAACCCACAGCTGTCAATCCTGTTGCTCCAACCAAACCGCCAGGACCGCCAGGACCGCCTAAACCACCGACACCAGCTCCAGCCATGAGGAAGGGCTCGATACCCCAGTCCAAACATGAAACAGAAAACCCTCCAAACCCAGCGTCCTCAGACACCTCTCTCCCTCTACGGTGAGAAAACGAAAATAAACTGAATCAGCGGCATCAGGAATACACCTTATGTTATGAATGTTTTATTAAAGAGGCATGGAAGTGATTCATTTAGATCAGAGTTTAAGCTAGGGCTGGTTGTTATGGCCTAAAAAAAAAAAAATCTAATATTTTTAAAATTATTTTTAATTTGATTTCCGAATGTTTTTCGAAAAAATATTTTTTTCACTAATTAAGGAAAGCAATAAGTACAAATGGGTCACCATGTCTTTGGCTTTGCGAGGGGGAACATCACTACCGCGCCGCACTATTGGCAGCTGTGCTTCTGTTAACAGCTAGCTTGTTAGCTATCTTGACCTGGAACCTTTTCTAGCCGTTTTAAAATATGCATTTCAACACACAACCCCATTACTTCTAATACAACAGCATCTAAATAAACGTACCCCCTCCCCCTCTCCAGGAACCTTGTAAAAGTAATTTAATTATTATTTTTTTAAATAAGGCCTTAATTTGCTTTAAAATTCATAAAATGTGATTATCGTGGCATTTAAAATGGCTTATTTAAAAAAAATGTGTAAAGTTTCTGAAAACAATTTCGTCAGATATATTATATCACGATATAGTTGCACAGAACTGCTTCCGGTTGATCGTAAAGCCGTATGCTCTGAAAAAGGATCTTGAGGCAGAGAAAAAGCTAGAGAATTGGAAAATGCTAATTTTAACAAAAGCGGCTGGAAAACGAGGAATTTGCGACGTGGCTGCAGCCTGTCATTGGTAAAGATCACCAAGGATTTTGCCGTGTTTTATTTATTTATTTATATATATATATATATATATATATATATATATATATTTATTTATTTATTTATTTATTTATTTATTTATTTATATAATGTCATGGGTACTTATTTCTCAGAGCTAAATTATTTCTAAGTGCACTAAAAGAGCATTAAAAAGTATTAGTTACTCATTCCTGTATAAACACCGGTGTGTTGTTAATGTTCACAAGCTGCTATTTGCTGCTGTTTCTGCTGTCTTGGCTGCAGCTCGTTCCACTAACTGTACCCCCCCGCTCCCACCCTCCTACTAAACTTGTGTTTGGGTAGTAATGCGTTCTGATAACCTCCAAAAGACACGTCATCATAGCAGCCAAAGTTATCGCTGGTGTTGCTATGAAACTAATGTTGAGAAGTTTATTTTCCCCTCCCAAAAAAACAACAAAAACCCAGCCACAGTTGCTGCATGCCGGAAATCCACCACTAAGTCAGAGAACTTTAGGCTCTGCAGTTCCAACAACAGCTGATTTTATTCCTTTTTTCAGTACGAACTTCTCTCTCACCTGTAGTTATTTCATTTGCCATTTGATGCGACGCTGCCGATTGTCAAACTTTTTTAAATCGCCCTCAAGAAAAATTCAAATTAATTTAATCGATTTTTTTGCCCAGGCCTAGTTTAAGGTTTGATAGTCGTTATTCTAGTTTAGTTTTTTTAGTCTTTAAAACCACAAAGATTATGATTTATGATTCTGTCTTGGAGGAAATGCTGTTTGTTAGCATGTGTTGAATCTTTAAGCATAAACTGGTTTGATGGCCTCTCAGATCAGCTGGAAATAAGCCCCACAGCCTACAGAGCTTTTATTGTGAAATAATAATTTATTTTCTAAATTGAACATTTGTTCCCAGCATAATTAAAGCCTGACGGAGGTTTTGACTACTTGGTTTTCTTTCTTTCATCCTTTTTTTTTTTTCCCAAAGTCCACCAAGTGTTAAACTCCTCCCCCTTCGCCCTCCACCAATCAAAGCCGCCCCAGGGAGACCGCCTCCCCCAGCCATCAACTCGTCCCCCTCAACCAATCAGATCGCTGCCTCCACTACACCTGCTGGACGATCTTCGCCATCACACTCCTCCTCATCTACTCCCACGGCTAATCAGATGCAGACACAGAGGGTGGCAAAAAAAGGCCCCCCTCTGCCGCCTCGCCCTAAACCTGGACACCCGCTGTACAGCAGCTACATGGTACCCACACAGACGCACCCAGAGATTAGTCTGTGACAAACAGATCTACGTTATTTTTAGATCTGATTTTGATCTGGTTGTTTCCCAGAAACAGGAAGTCCTGATTGTCCTCGATGATCCGATCCCGACTCCTACAGAGCCCCAGGAGTCAGATGAAGGGAAGAATCAGAGCAGCGTCATCAGCCCGCCTCAGTGTCTCCTGGACTCGGACCCGCAGCCAGAGCCCGTCCAGGATAAGGAGAGCGAGTCAAAAACGGTCATAGAGGATCTCAACCAGCCAGACATCCAGGTACAATGCAGGAAATCATTGTGGTTTTAATGCATTTGTTTAAAAATATACTTCTTTCTATTCATCTTGAATGTATATTTATTTCTCTATACTAATTTACATTTGTGCTGACCAGTGTGTTTTTTATTTTATTTTTATTTCAGCAATGTACCAATGAGTTTCCGTAGCCCAAACTGATTCCTGTTCATTACGTTTTGTTCCTGGATGTTTACTATTAACCGATTAACTAACTCACTGTGGGACGCCACCAGCTGCAAAGTTTTACTTATATTCTCATTTCTATGGTTGTTTCACCGCCTGAATTTTATTGCCCTTTAAATTAAGGTTACCTCAAAGAGGCAACTAGATTTTGAAGCCATATCGCTGATCCATAATTAAAAATGAGAAAAAAAAAACGCAACCTAAAATGGCAAATTGTGCTGCTAAACAATTTAAATGTGTCTTCATCACTCAGATGAAAACGGTAATTGTAAAATATGAGATGCTGGCCTGAGGTGAAAGAGGAGAAAGTATGGCATCCGCATTAATGCATTCATTTTCATTTTACATTATTCAAGAAAAAGCCACTAAATAATAGGGGTTTGCAAAATAATCGTCATGACGATGCATCGCGATTCTAATTATTGTGATCTACTGCATCGATTCTTGACGCCAAGTATCGATTCTTAATTTTAAAAAATGAACAAATAAAATACATGATTGTTTGGCGCACATCAGCCAAACCAAGTGGAATACAATTTCCAGTCCAGTAGATGTCGCTGCGGATGTGTTGATGCCCGCTGCTTTGTGTCACAAGCATTTCCGTCCGCGGGATACTGAGACGAGTCATTCGTAAACAAAACATGGAGGACACTAAGAAAATTCGCCAGTCAGCCACTGGTAAGGGCTGTATCCTTTTCCTACAGTGTTCAGTGAAAATAGCGCGATGCATTGCGATATTTCAAGTATTGCGATGCATCGTGATAGAATCGCATCGTGGAATGTGAATCGTGATTCGAATCGAATCATTACTTCTTTGCCAATACCCACCCCTGGTAAATAATCTGCGTACATAATCCGAAAATCTCCCAGAAATAATACAAGTGGTCATTTAAAGATAGAATTTAAATGTAATATACCCACAAGTGGTCTGCACAGTAGAGCAGTGCTTAGCTCTGTTGCATTGCAGCAAGAAGGTTCTGGGTTTGATTCCTGTTCTCCCTTTGGGTTCTCTCCAGGTACAGCAGCTTCCTCCAAGAGTTCAAAAACAATACTGTTAATTGGCTTCTGTTAAAGGTATAGTGGAGGGTGTTCTTTTTTCCAGGTGGATCATCTAAATAAGTGGTCCTCCTAATTGTAAATCATTCTAGTGATATGTTTACGTAAGGACGTCCTACGGGCTCGTCCCCATTTTCACTTACCGGTGAGTCTGACATAGTGGAAAAATTGCAAATCTTCTTTTGGAAAGAAAGCTTGTATGAATGAATTAAATGGCAACTTTAAAATAAAACGTGCATGAGGAGAAATGGGCTGGTGCACGCTCTCAGGTCGTTTAATAGAGCGGGTACACGGTTCTACATGTGCATCTGTTTTTTTTAACCCTTTAAAGCCCGATCCAAGAATAAAACAAAACAGAAAATTCCTTTTTTTTTTTTGGTTTGAATTCCTTATTTGGCCTTTTAACAAAATATGTAAAAAGAAAAAACAGAAATACATTTTTGATATTAATAATTTATTACTATGTGATAAGTCCAGATTATTTTTTGTGTATTCTTCTACTGGCTGTTATCAGGTTTATCTGATTGTGTACAATAGGATTTTGAGCCAAGTTTTTACCATTAAATTATGCAATTATTGCAAGACGCAAAACATTTCAGAAACCGTATGTATCAAATATGATACATTTGGCATTACTGGGTTAAAGTAGAAAGGGTGGGACTTTTTGAAAATTCCCTAAACTCCTCTGCTATACCTTTAATTGTCCTTAGGTGTGTGTGTGTGTGTGTGTGTCTCTATTTTGCCCTGCTACAAACTGGCAACCTATTCAGTGTGTACCCCGCCCCTCACCCATACTAAGCAAGAGAAGATGGATGGATGGATGGATTCAAAAGTGTTGCGCTGGTTCCAAAAGAGCCAAATTTTATGCTGCCTTTAACATCGTGGATGCCTCTGTCATCTTTTGCTGGTCTCTCGTATAAAACTGCAGACACAATGAAAGAGAGTGGCTGCATTATCTACTGTGACGAGTGGAGAAAAAGGTAGCNTCTGTCATCTTTTGCTGGTCTCTCGTATAAAACTGCAGACACAATGAAAGAGAGTGGCTGCATTATCTACTGTGACGAGTGGAGAAAAAGGTAGCTTTAAGATGTTTCAGCAAGAGAGTTCACCTCAAAGCATGCAGTTAGTTCACCAGATTATGATCCTAGTATTAAGCATTGTTTGGCAGCTCCCAATAATAGACTCCTTCATAGCCACGGTTCAGCATTCACTGGGATTCCAGCTATGGGCTCCTCTAGCTGGCCGGGCTTTCTGGGATTCCCTGCTGCTGTTCCTGTTTTTCAGGAGGTAAAAACTCCATCACCAGCATATGAAAACAAACACATTTCAATTTTTATACTTTCTATAGTATTTATAGATGGTTTCTCTACAGTTCAATAACAAAAACAAAATGAATTGGATTATTTACTGAACTCTCACTTTTGTACCCGGAAAATAAATACATACTACTGTTTTTTTAACTTTAAATGTAAATATTGTTGTTTATTTTGGATGGGGATCACGGATGCAGAGACTGTCTCCCTGCCAACTCAAAGATCAGCTTCTCTGATTGGACGAGCTTGATGCACATTCATGCTAGGAAGCTCAAAACACTGCGGCAGACGGTGGAAACACGCCGCAGGAGCAACGCCCCTTGATGAGCGACCAACATAGACTTTGAATGAAAACCAGATGCCCCAGATGTTTGCTGTGTAAACAGCATTGATTTTATTTATCTATTTGAAAGGAACAATATGATCAAACTTTCTAACAAAGGCCTACTCATGATGACATGCACAGTTTATATCGAATGCTTGTTTTCGTCTCAAATTAAAATAAAAAGAAGTAGATTTAAGCTTAAGCGCATATCCAAACACACGACACTATGCCCTTCATTATTAAGATACATAATCTAATATTTACAGAGGCTCACAAATATCGGAGTTTATAATCCATAGTTTTGTTTGTTTAAGGCCACTAGAGGGCACCATAGCCTGTTTATACAACTGAGGTGAAGAAATATGATGAGAATCAGGAGTTGTGCTTTGATGCTCATTAATCCCGTAAATACAGGAAGAACCAGACGCCTTCAGCTTTATTATGAAAAAAGGCAGATCCTAAGAAATGGATAATTTGAGCACTTAATGAAAATATCTTGATAGAAGACTTCATAATAGGTTTTACTTTTCTATTTTTATTGATTTTAAGAAAACCAGAACTAGTATAAATATTTCTGAACCTTTAAACCCGGAGCATGACAATAATTCAGTATCAACATATCGTGATTTTAATTTTGTTCATTAACCGTGGCATTTCTAGGGCTGAAACAATCCGATTGATTAATCAATTATTGAAATAATCAACAAATAAGTTTGAAATCGATTAATCGTTAATGGGAGTATAATGACTCTGAAATATGTATAGCAGACAGACCAACCCACTTGGACCAGTAATTATACCAAAATTGTAAAAAGAAATGTGTAAACATTTTGTATGAAAATCTTTTTCTTTTGTCAATATGCTGGATTCAGAACTCCTCAAGTGGAAAAGTTTTATTTTTACCTGGTTTCATTTTGGAAAAATTCTTCATTAAGGAACATTTAGCTATCAGATTATTAACCAAAAATATAATCAACAGATGAATCGATTTGCTAAATAATGGTTAGTTGCAGCCCTAGACATTTACAATATTTCAGTTTACTATACAGTCTATCATTATTTGTCACTGACTGACACTTTATAAACACATAAAACTGACTGGTTTTATGTGTTTATAAAGGTGGCTAAAATATTTCTATAAGTTTGTTCAATATCAATATTCTATTTTGTTTGTGTTGATAGTGGAATTATATCGGATTAACCAAACGTAATAAATATACTATGGTGTAATATTTGGTCATGTCATCCAGTCCTGTTTCAGACCTTTATTATTTCACCCTAACAGTATTTTCTTTCTTTCTGTAGTCCATCCTGCCTGCTGAGCTCAAAGAGCAGCCGGACCCCCCCGCAGTCAGGTCAGAGAGCTTCACTCCATGATCAATCCAAGATGAATCAGAACCACCCAGATGCTAACCCTGGGACCTCTGTGTGTCGTCCGTCTCTGCAGCGGGCCACGATGCGTCGCTCTGTTTGACTACGAGGGAGAGGAGGAAGGTGAGCTCACCTTCTCTCAGGGGGACGTCATCGCCCTCCTGGAGCTGGTTGGTGAGGAGTGGGGGCGGGGCCAGATCCACGGGCGAGCTGGGATATTTCCACTCAACTTCACAGAGGTGTTGGAGCCCCTTCCAGAGATCACATCGTCATCATCAGTAGAAACCTCCAAACTGGAATCAACAGAACCAGGAGAGACGGAAAACTCTGGTGAGTCACAGAGATAAACTTGTTTTAATTTTCCCTTTTTTAAATGTAGCACTTTGTAGCACTTTGAGATTTGAAGTCAAATGTAAAGTGCGTTATAAATAAAATTCATTATTATTATTATTAGATTATAATCTGCTGGAATAAATGTCCACTTTAACCAGAGACAGTGTCTCCAGAAAGAAGCTGTGTGTTGAATATCAAACATGTTTGATTTTCTCCCGACCTCACGATTCCTGATCTGGAGGTGATCAGGAGAGGCTGATCGCCGCTCGTAACCCCCCCGACTCACGACGCACGATTAGGCTGAAAGTCTGCCTGATCTGAAAATTCTTGCACGACTGGAAAATCACCCCGAAAATCGCACAATGTACTAGGGGTGTAAATCACACCCATCATGGTGATTCTATTCAGTATCGATTTCCTGACCCAACGATTCGATTATTTTCGATGCTCAAGAAAACACCACGATACGATACGATTAATTGTTTAATTTTTTTTTTTTTTTTACCTTACAGGATAGACAATGTTTCAAATTTGAAATAAATCAATGAAAGCTATAATATCGTTTTGCGTTTTATTTGAGAAACAACAGCAAATAACAGAAGTACAAAATTGTACTCCACCTAGGCCTATGAAAACCTCTTTCACTGAAAAATAATAATACCCCTGCGTTATAGATTCTGAAAGGCTTTGTATAAAAAAAATACTGCACAAAATCAGTGCAATGAGTGTAATGCAATACCTCGGCTCCAGACAGTCGACATCCTCGCCCCCTCCGCAGACGCTTCGCTGCACCTCTCCCAAATTGTAGCTGACCGCAGACAGGAGGCCGGCTTGTTTTGTTTTGATGACCAAAATTGCGGATCGTCGGCTGTTGGATCGATGCACTGATACAAAACTATTATTTACACCGTTGTTGTGTTGTGTAACCGTTGCCCCACCTGCACGCCCTCTGTAGTATTCTAGATCTAGTCTTCATTGAAGCTGAACTTGGCAGAGATCTGTAAATGATCTCCAGCTAGAAGCTCCATGTTTCACACATGGATCTGCCGCTTTCCCAGGTTCTGTTATTCTGTATTTGCCACTTATCAAATACACTAAAACACTTAATCCAGTTATGTAGATAAGACATCAGACTGAAAATAGACACAGGGGGTCACTATGGTTTTATAACAGTCAGGTACTTTGTACTGATTGACTGCTATGATATCATACTGATATTCTTATATTCCAGATTTAACTAGATAAAGCAAAATCCCTTTAAATATGTTTTTATAGAACTAAATGTGTTGGATTAGAAGATCCTAAAATAGTTTTTAAAGATGTTTTTTGTCAAATTTAATTTTATATTAACTTTTTTTTTTTTTTTTTCTCTTTTAATTGCTTTTAAACCTATTTACACACTTTAATTTCCTTTTTTTCTTCATTGCATGTTTATCCACAGTGACCGTTAAGCCGTCTGAGTTAGAGGTGAGTGTTTCTCTGCTTGTTTTCCATTTTTCTAAAGCTGTTTTCTGTTAGTTCAGTCTGTCACAGCAGCTAAAACAAGTATTAAACACGCCACCATTTTTCTCGGTTAATATATTTCTAGAGGTGCTATTGACATGACCTTTTAACCAGATGTCGGTAACAGTTCATGCAATCCACACATAAAAAGAAATCAAACGGCTGTATATCCTTGTAGATATGTATTAACGAATGCATTATCACGTTCATTAGGATTCTGTCAGTTTTCTCTACTTACATACGCACTAAACCTGATTTTATTTGTGGGAACAGACAGAGGAGTGGGTGGTTGCTCTGTTCGACTTCTCTGGTCAGACGGCAGAGGACTTGTCGTTCCACAAGGGGGCGCTGATTCAAGTGACGGAGCACATCGACGCTGATTGGAGGAGAGGTCGACTGGACGGGAGGGAGGGTCTCTATCCCGCTGCTTTCACACAGCCCTGTCAGGGTACAAAAATAAATCTAGACGACACTTTTCTAGAGTCATAAACACATTAAGAAATAAAAAATATTAGAAAGAAAATTATAAAAGAAAAAAAATTGATTGGTGTCAGAATTTAAAACACATTTTTGCCTCTTTGGTTGTTATTTTATTATTATGTAAAAAGATTGTTGGATGGCTAAAAAGGCTACCTCTGTTTTTTTTTTTTTTTTTTATGTGTGTGTTTTTTTTTTTTTTAAATCAGCTCAACCAATCACAGGCCAGTGTTTTTTTTTTTTTTAAATCAGCTCAACCAATCACAGGCCAGCAGTCTGCGGCTAAAGGAACTGCTAAAGCTGTGTTTGATTTCACCGCAGAGAACGAGGACGAGCTCACCTTGAAGGTTCTGGATTAAAACAATTTATTTTTTGTTACGTCGAATCCAGAGCTGCTCTCTTGTTTTAAACAATGGCTTTCATCCCGTTTCGTCTGTTGTAGGTCGGTGACATCATCACACAAGTTGAGTCCGTCGATGAGCAGTGGATTATGGGAGTTGTGAGCGGAAAGCGTGGGATCGTTCCTAAAAACTACATTTCATTCCTTTGATGAGGAAGTTAAAGCCACAGCGTTAAGCAGACTTTTGGACCATTAACGACCCCTCAGGGGCGTTTCCTGGCTCTTTTTTATTCTAGTGTTTTTGGATAAAAAATTCATCCATTTCAGTGTTGTTTTTTTTTGTTTTTTTTTTAGACTAAGCTTTTTTATTGCCAGGAGCATTATTAAAGGACCTAAATCAAGCCAGATTGTTTTTAATGGTGGATTACTAAACTGGAAAAGGAGAAACTTTGATTGTTTTCTTTTAATTTAGACGAACTGAACAGAAGTTTTCTAGTTTGCTGACAGATTTCCCCCTTGTTTTATCAGGACCTTCGTATTTTACTTTTTTACTCATCGTTTTACCTGATTGTTCAAGGATTGAAGCTCATAAACCACAATCCTCAATTGTATCAAAGGAATTGAGGTTATCTGCTTCAATGATCATTTTCTCTTCTTTACTTCTTATTTTCTGTCTTCATTCTTTGTTTGCATCCATTAAATAGCAACTCATAATCTGTCAGAAAATACAAAATATGCAATAAATTTACTGAACATTATTTGTGCAAATTTCCTCTTTTTCATCTTAAACATCTGGTGCCTTAAAATCAACATACCGTTAAACTGTAAATCTTACAGCTATGGAAAAGTATTGTAGTAGCTGGTAGAAGCTGCTGATAGGATGCAGTTTTCAGACTAATGATTCAAATCTAAACTTTATACTATGTGCTCTAATGCTACGTTCAAGCTGCAAGCAGCAGGAGCAGCAAAAATGCGCATGCTGCTTCATTTTTGGTGCTTGTAGAAGTTTAGCCTCTTTGCTGCTCTAGCTGCGCGGTGATAAAGTGGGTCTGATGCGCGTTGTGCGGAGCTACCCTATCCTTTCTTTACCACTGTGGTCAGTGGGTAAAAAAGCTGTTTTAATGTTTTTAAATGGAAAGTCAGCCTGAAAACTTCCTCTGTGCAGTCAGTTGATCAAGATTACGATCCTGTCTTCAAATATTATTTGGCTGCTCTGTCACTAGGAATCCCTTTCAGCAGCAGCCTCTGGCTCGGTCGACTCTTCGCAGTTTGCCGCTACTGTTCACGGCGGCTGTAAGTCGTTTTTCATGTATGTATTTCGATACATTATTACAAGAAACAGAGAAATCATATCGGTATTAAATATATTTTAAAACAAAATAAGGAAAATTTATACATACTAAAATTAAACTAAAATCTTGTTAATATTGTTTTCAAAGTAAGACATGCAGTAAAATGGTATTAAAATAACAAAAGTTTCTTTTTTACACCTTTCCAAACTGTTAAAAAAGTTTTCACCCTTTCCAACTCTACAATAATACATTGTTACTCTGTAGAAATGACAGGAGCCACATTGTTAAAAGTAGCGGTCGTTGGTTATAATGTGGTTAGAAAACAAAAAGTAAATGCCAAAACACATATTTAACCAACACTGTCATCCATGTAGAATAGAAATACACTTTATTATTGCTGTGTGTCAATGCCAAAGAAAAAAGACAATTAAGCCCTTGGGTACAGGATGAAAGAACAATGAAAATAGAAAATTTGGAGGGAAAGGGCAAATAGGTCACTCAGTAATGTGGGGAAATACAAAAAAAAAACAAGATTTTCGATATAAATATAAAAAACACCACAGATACATACAGCTTATTAACACAACAACAAAAAAAACTGGCATGGATATGGAAAACATTTATGAAGTATGTAGAAATTTGCAAATAAAGTTATAGGATTTACCTTTTCAGATTTAACTAAGTTCAATTCAGCATCTCTTTTGAGTATAAAACAGTTTAAAAGAAATAATTAACTGCCAAGTCTCGACATCAATAGGATGGTAGTAAGAGCGTGTAATACCCCCTTTCCACTGTCCGAAAAACCAGTTTAAATTCTGAAACGATCAGCTTTTAGGGGCTTAATAACGCGTGTCAAACAAATCAGAAAGTGCTCTGTGTTAAGATTGCCTGAGCTCTGAGCGGCATGCTGATCGAAACAGCTCTGTTTACGTTCAATAAACATGGCACAGCTCTGGTAAGAGCGATTCAGAAACTATAAAGCCCTGGGTTCCCTACATATTGCTCTCCATTGTTTACTTTCCTGATTTCTGTCACTCGTATTAACATCATGGCTATCCCAGTGTGATGATGTCACCAGACACGCACCTGTGAGCGGACAGAAGCCATGCCACTTGCTAGCTATTAGACCCAGCTTTTCTGCCAATGGGAAGGGAACTAAATGCTGATTGTTAAGGGGTTGACCCATGTTTGAAAAACGCGCATTAACCTACTATTTTCAGTGGGAAAAAGGCTTAAATCATCCGGGAAATATCAAGATTATCATGAGTAGAAAATACAAGATGGGTTGATCCTAAAATTGCATCATGCAATGTTTTGAGAAACTACAACAAAAAACTGAAGTGATTAGTTCTTTGTCATTAAAAAAGAAACAAAAAAACAAGAAGCTGTTAAGAATGATGCTTGCATCTACCAGGATACTTTTGCTCCAAAGAACTGATATCTCGTGATGAAATCCTAATTGTGTTTGATTTTATCCAATCAATGCTCCATTGCAGTAGAGTGGCCACATTGCTACAAAGGATACCCGTTTTTTATTTTTTTT